ATTAAATCATGCAATGTGTTTAACATGCATGTCGAAATCCTGATCCTATTTATGTTGCAGCCCTATCTACATCTAAAAACGATCTGAATGTATTACCTGACACCAGAGATGGCAGAAGTACACACACCCTCAAGTAGAAGTACAGATACTCGTGTTTAAAAATACTCTGGTAGAAGTACTGACTAAACTTCTTTACTCAAGTCAAAGTAAAGAGGCTTTGAAGTGTACTTCAGTAAAAAGTCCCCATAACTAGCAGCTGCTTTAAAGAGTACCTGACCTCCCTTTATATTAATAGAACAATAATGTCATTGTTAGCTAATGAATGTTTCCATGCTGAACAACGGCAACATGACAACGTTTCCATTGGTCCCTCTTCTTTAGAGAAGACCAGGAAATGATGGATACACGGATCGTGTTCCAATCAATAGGCACGCAATGACTCTAAAGAATAATGATCACGCATCAAACACACATTCAGACTAAAGGAACCAGCTGTTTGGGAAATGAGAGAAGTAGAAAGTACAGGTATTTGAGTTCAACATGTGAGAAGTAGAAAGTACAGGTATTTGTGTTCAACATGTGAGAAGTAGAAAGTAAAGGTATTTGAGTTCAACATGTAAGAAGTAGAAAGTACAGGTATTTGTGTTCAACATGTGAGAAGTAGAAAGTACAGGTATTTGAGTTCAACATGTAAGAAGTAGAAAGTACAGGTATTTGAGTTCAACATGTAAGAAGTAGAAAGTACAGGTATTTGTGTTCAACATGTAAGAAGTAGAAAGTAAAGGTATTTGAGTTCAACATGTAAGAAGTAGAAAGTACAGGTATTTGGGTTCAACATGTAAGAAGTAGAAAGTACAGGTATTTGTGTTCAACATGTAAGAAGTAGAAAGTACAGGTATTTGAGTTCAACATGTAAGAAGTAGAAAGTACAGGTATTTGAGTTCAACATGTGAGAAGTAGAAAGTACAGGTATTTGAGTTCAACATGTAAGAAGTAGAAAGTACAGGTATTTGGGTTCAACATGTAAGAAGTAGAAAGTACAGGTATTTGAGTTCAACATGTAAGAAGTAGAAAGTACAGGTATTTGAGTTCAACATGTGAGAAGTAGAAAGTACAGGTATTTGGGTTCAACATGTAAGAAGTAGAAAGTACAGGTATTTGAGTTCAACATGTGAGAAGTAGAAAGTACAGGTATTTGAGTTCAACATTAGAAGTAAAAGGTATTTGTGTTCAACATGTGAGAAGTAGAAAGTACAGGTATTTGAGTTCAACATGTAAGAAGTAGAAAGTACAGGTATTTGTGTTCAACATGTAAGAAGTAGAAAGTACAGGTATTTGTGTTCAACATGTAAGAAGTAGAAAGTACAGGTATTTGATGTTCAACATGTAAGAAGTAGAAAGTACAGGTATTTGTGTTCAACATGTAAGAAGTAGAAAGTACAGGTATTTGTGTTCAAACATGTAAGAAGTAGAAAGTACAGGTATTTGGAGTTCAACATGTGAAGAAGTAGAAAGTACAGGTATTTGAGTTCAACATGTGAGAAGTAGAAAGTACAGGTATTTGTGTTCAACATGTAAGAAGTAGAAAGTACAGGTATTTGTGTTCAACATGTAAGAAGTAGAAAGTACAGGTATTTGAGTTCAACATGTAGAAGTAGAAAGTACAGGTATTTGAGTTCAACATGTAAGAAGTAGAAAGTACAGGTATTGTAGTTCAACATGTGAGAAGTAGAAAGTAAAGGTATTTGTGTTCAACATGTGAGAAGTAGAAAGTACAGGTATTTGAGTTCAACATGTAAGAAGTAGAAAGTACAGGTATTTGAGTTCAACATGTAAGAAGTAGAAAGTAAAGGTATTTGTGTTCAACATGTAGAAGTAGAAAGTACAGGTATTTGAGTTCAACATGTGAGAAGTAGAAAGTACAGGTATTTGTGTTCAACATGTAAGAAGTAGAAAGTACAGGTATTTGAGTTCAACATGTGAGAAGTAGAAAGTACAGGTATTTGAGTTCAACATGTAAGAAGTAGAAAGTTCAGGTATTTGAGTTCAACATGTGAGAAGTAGAAAGTACAGGTATTTGTGTTCAACATGTAAGAAGTAGAAAGTACAGGTATTTGTGTTCAACATGTAAGAAGTAGAAAGTACAGGTATTTGAGTTCAACATGTAAGAAGTAGAAAGTACAGGTATTTGAGTTGAACATGTAAGAAGTAGAAAGTACAGGTATTTGAGTTCAACATGTAAGAAGTAGAAAGTACAGGTATTTGTGTTCAACATGTAAGAAGTAGAAAGTACAGGTATTTGAGTTCAACATGTGAGAAGTAGAAAGTTCAGGTATTTGAGTTCAACATGTGAGAAGTAGAAAGTTCAGGTATTTGAGTTCAACATGTAAGAAGTAGAAAGTACAGGTATTTGAGTTCAACATGTAAGAAGTAGAAAGTTCAGGTATTTGAGTTCAACATGTGAGAAGTAGAAAGTACAGGTATTTGTGTTCAACATGTAAGAAGTAGAAAGTACAGGTATTTGTGTTCAACATGTAAGAAGTAGAAAGTACAGGTATTTGAGTTCAACATGTAAGAAGTAGAAAGTACAGGTATTTGAGTTGAACATGTAAGAAGTAGAAAGTACAGGTATTTGAGTTCAACATGTAAGAAGTAGAAAGTACAGGTATTTGTGTTCAACATGTAAGAAGTAGAAAGTACAGGTATTTGGGTTCAACATGTGAGAAGTAGAAAGTACAGGTATTTGGGTTCAACATGTGAGAAGTAGAAAGTACAGGTATTTGGGTTCAACATGTAAGAAGTAGAAAGTACAGGTATTTGTGTTCAACATGTAAGAAGTAGAAAGTACAGGTATTTGGGTTCAACATGTGAGAAGTAGAAAGTACAGGTATTTGGGTTCAACATGTAAGAAGTAGAAAGTACAGGTATTTGGGTTCAACATGTAAGAAGTAGAAAGTACAGGTATTTGGGTTCAACATGTGAGAAGTAGAAAGTACAGGTATTTGGGTTCAACATGTGAGAAGTAGAAAGTACAGGTATTTGAGTTCAACATGTAAGAAGTAGAAAGTACAGGTATTTGGGTTCAACATGTAAGAAGTAGAAAGTACAGGTATTTGTGTTCAACATGTAAGAAGTAGAAAGTACAGGTATTTGAGTTCAACATGTAAGAAGTAGAAAGTACAGGTATTTGTGTTCAACATGTAAGAAGTAGAAAGTCATCAGAAAAATAAGTAGTGGAGTAAAGCACTGATACCAGAAAAATGTACTTAAGTACAGTAACAAAGTATTTGTACTCCACTTCTTCCCACCTCTGATTTTCACCCAAAAAACGTTGCTTCTGTGATTTATCCCCTCTCTGCAGCTGTCCAGACGTCCATGCCTTCGTTCCACGCTAAGATGCAGAACAAACTGCGGACGGAGGCGATGGGGGGGGACACGGCCGTGTGGCTCTCTGTGTCTGCGGCCGCCATCAAGCAGCCGAGCGGACTGTTCTTCCAGGGTCAGACACTAAAACCTGTTCAGAACCGTGTGAAACCTGTCATCTTTCTGCTTTCACAACTTTTGATTGGATAATAGAGGCTATGGGCGGCCCCGTCTTAGTGTGTGGGAGAGAAAGACCTACTGGAGGGAACACAGGGATTTTAGCCTTTGCAGACCATTTACATGCATCAAAACCTATCTAACAAACTACAGGAAAGGGAAAACCCCAAAAAGCATAATATGGCCCCTTTTAAATTTGTATTAAACACAGACCTTATTTATAACTCTGCAGCTCTTTGGAGCATGAGGGGGAAAATAAGGGACAATCCACATTACTTACAAAATGAACCGTTAAGGCTAAATGAATCTGCAATCCCTAACAAGGAAGTGGCAATAAAAGAAAAACATAACATACAAAAAAGGGCACAGAAAGAAAGCTTATAGTTTTGTCTTCTCACTGACCATCTTACAAAACAAATAATGCAAGTCACGCATACAAACAAACATGAAGAGACGGAGACACAACAACATTCAAAACTGTGTAGCAGAGAACCAGGGGGGTTACATTACAAATAGGTTTTAGTTGAAGTCTGATCTATACGGGTTTACACACTCAATCCATCCCTTCCAACACTTGTCAAATGTGTCTGTCTTGAGTCTTCACATTAAACCAGTCTGCTAGAGGAGGTGGTACTTGGCGTAACCATGTTTTCGTTATGGCGACGAGCATTACTTTAAACGTGTACATTTGAGAGAAAGTGTAACACATTTCTAAGCTTTAGCGTCTCTGTCTGTCTGATGTTTATCCATGATGTGTTCTGCAGACCGTAAAGCGGTGGCGACGCACCTCCCTCTGGCCTCCACCCGCTCCTCCCCTCAGGACGAGGAGAAGCTGCAGGCGGCGCTGGACGAGTTCGCCCTCAAGTTCAAACCTTAATATCTCTGTAAACGCACTTATTAAACCACGCACTCCTTAATAATTACCAATGTTTACATAATTGTTATTTCTCAATGTACAGGATGTTTATTTGATACATTTGTTAAAGCGGCTTGAAGAACAAAACACACCAAAGTCAAGTTGTTTTTTGGAAGGAAGAGTGTTGTTGTTGTTGTTGTGAGATTAATCTACTGAATCAAACCTGAAGGAAAATGAATACACTAAATATAAAACCTTTAATACTGCATTCATCAAGTCTACTGGGAGATATTTATCAGCCGACACATACATGTAATAATGCAAAATTGTTATTTGTAAATTAAATATATTTATACGGTTTCTCTCTCGTCTCCATCCATGTGTGTGATGTCTTAAAAAAGGTATGAGGTCCAACAGGGTCTAAACTTATAATATATTTTATTTCTATAGCGCTTTTCTTGAACCCAAAGACGCTTTACATTTGGGAGGGAGGGTAGACAAACAATACCTATAATACTTATCTAATACCTTCAGTGTTATAGTAAAGTAGTACTGAGTAAAACATATTGAGGGTATTTGTAAAAACAAAAAAATGGTCTGGCAATTTGTGGAGAAGGTGCACCGGCTCTTTTAATTAGTCATTTATTCATACATGGTTACATCAACGGACAGAAACAAACATCAAAACATCTTTCCTGCAACAGAACAATAAACCACTGGCCTTGGATGAATTTATTTGAACTGCAACAGGATTTTAAGTATTCTTAATCTTTAAACTTGTATGCAAATCATCCATTTAAATCATACACTTTACATGAACACAGGAATTTATTTAGCAAAACAAGCTATTGTGTTTCAGTATTTTTAACAACTAGTCCAGGCAGTAACAGCTTAAGTGAATAGTAACAACTATTTAACAGCTTCTGGCAAAAACGTGAACTGTACATCATGCATTTTTAACGGGTCTGCAAAAAGAAGGAATTCTACATGATTTTAAAGAAGAGCTGAAAACACTGGTTGTTTGAAGGTCTTCCACAAGCTCTCACAGCGAGTCATTTTTCACTCCTGTTGTGTTAAAGGGGCCTTTTGACGCTCATTCTCAGGTCCATCTTTGTATTTAGTGCCTCGACTGGGACACGTCTCCAATGTTCAAAAAGCTCTTAATGTTTCTCATACTGTCTGTGCTGCAGCACCTCTTTTCACCCTCTGTCTAAAACCAGAGCCCAGTCTGCTCTGATTGGTTAGCGAGCCGGCTCTGTTGTGATTGGTCAACAACTTAGGCGCTGTTTACACGAGAACGAAACGGGTTGTATCCGCTACTTTTCTCTCTTCGTTCACACGAGGCCGTAACGCAAACGGGATAAAGGGTCCCAAGGTGGATAGATCTGCGGACGGAACGCTCTGGGGGGCCAAACGGCTCCGTGTGTACGTCCTATACGATCATTTCCTGATAACGATGAAGCCATAGCCCCATCTCTGCTGCTCACTGCTGTAGAGTAGCTACTGCTACTGCCCATGCTACAGACGTTAGCGCACAACCATCAGCAACAAGTGGACATGGAGAACTACATGTTGCTAAATCCACCGCCGAGAATAAACAGAAGGGCAACCATGGCAACCATGCTCGGGGGTCTTCTTCACTGCTTTTAGTGTATTTTGTTGCGCGGCATATGTACTACAGCGTCTCCAGCGGGCCGAGTGGTCTCGTGTGAAGGGACACGTTTATTGAGCCGTATCCGTGGGAACGGAAGACTTTTTTGATATCGAATTCGGTCTGTTTGCGTTCCCGTGTAAATGGGGTCTTAGAGAGGTCCTGCCCCTTAGCCAATCACGTATAATGTGTTGGAGCGCTAGCCAATGGTAGCACAAGGGATTTTATCCTTAGCAGACCATTTACATGCACACAAACTATAAGAGGGCCTCTTCAAACACAACTTTATTTTCAATCTTAACATCTTTGGGAAATATTCAGCGGGGTTTAAACGTTATTATGAATCAACTTAGTTACCATGAGACGGTTAAAGCACAAACTTGATAATCACAGAAACATCTCTTCACAGCAGCCATTTGTGAAATGTTTGATTCCAGTGCAGTGACATACAAGAAGTCAGTACAGTGACAGTAACGATAAGAAACAAAATCAAACGTTCATTAACTTCCTTTCAGTCCTGATACATGTATGAATGTGAAGCCACTCATTAACTTGATGATATGTGTCAGAAACATTTAGACCAACACGTAGAATAATAAATAATCTCATAAAACACACAAGCAGTCTGATGGTTAATGCACGGATTACAAAACTTCACAGGTCTGCATCATGACAAGGGTCCACAATACAAATACATCAATATCTACTGTAATGTCCAAACCTATTCAACTTTTTAGGCAGCTGTATAAGACTCCATACTTTTCATCAAATGATATCAACTTATATACTTTTTCCCACATTTTAGCCATATTTATTTTATGTTTTGCAAACTTTATAATCACTACTAGAATATGAAATTAAGTTCTGTGGATCTGAACAATGTTTCGCTGCAGGAAAACGTTTTAAAAGTTGCCGTGATATCAACTACCTCGGCATTAAGGTGAGAGATTATTTGGGTGCGCATGATATTGATTTATTTAGGGTATAGTGAGACTTGGGTTACGATGAATGAGAGTTCGTAAACATATGATATGATATAGTTTTAACTTTAACTCAAAGTATTTTCTCCGTTTAGGTTCTTTCTTTTAGGAGAACAAGAAGTTGATAAACAAAATGATATTTTTTGTGATGAAATATTCCTTTAAGAGCTGCAGGAAGACTGTAAATAGCGCCATTAGCATATCTACAGTACTATATGACCACCTTTTAATGCTCATGTCCTCAAAGTGTCACTATGTGTTCTCTGTCCTTTATGACCGGTCTCTTAGTGACTTTCTAGATGGATAAAAGCGGTCATAGCCGGATTTGGTGAATTTGAAAGCAAAGAAATTGTCTGCTGCTACTTTCTTTACTTCCTGTAGGTCGTGCATGTCGGTGTAGAACTGTAGACGTGATCCAACAGCTTCCTCTTACAGCCTGCTAACAGTGAATGAGTGAGTTGAAGGTTGTGACTTCTTGTTCAATTCGGTTACCCTCCTTAAAATAAATACGGTACCCGCTGACAAAGTGCAGAAATGTTTCACTTCAGGTTTGAAATCGGCAGGAATGCATGAAAATTAAGGATTTTCAAGTCCTCGTAAAGTCCAAAGCCCTCCCACACACACTGATATAATACAAACACACACACATACACACAGATAGGGATCCCCCACACAAACAAACACCCACCACTGTCTGTAACCTTCAGTCCGCTCCGTGCTGCTCCCAGAGTCCTCCCTGTGGACAGCCGCTGCTCAAAGTTAAATATTATCCAGGTGACATGGAGACTGTTCCTCTCTTTCTCTTCCAAGTGCAACTGCTGCCGTGAAGCCCTCAGTTTGGTGGACAGAGCGTCAGCTGACCTCAGGACACCACAGGAGACATGTCCCACAGCTGCAGAGAAACACACACATGGTTGTTCCTCAGATTCAACGGGCTTCTGGAGAGACATTCCTGCAGACTCAAAACCTACTGCTGCTTTTTAAAACAATATTTTCTTCAAATGAAATCACCAAAATTAGACCATTATTCACGTCCAGGAATTTCTCCTCATTTTTCTATTAATCTATATTGATGTGACCGATTTACTGCTTTCATCAATCATAACTTTTTTGTTTTACATTCGATTGCATTAAGGCTTCATGATATCCTTCACAGCAGACATTTGAACATATACAATTGCTGATCAACACTTTCATTGGATTTTGGATGATTTAGTCAACTTTGTGACACCATGGTGTTCCCGGGCAAAAAGAAAAGGAATTAGCAACCATCCGGATCAGATACTGTGTGTTACTGTGTGTCACTGTCTCTTACTGTGTCTTACTGTGTGTCACTGTCTCTTACTGTGTCTTACTGTGTGTCACTGTCTCTTACTGTGTCTTACTGTGTGTCACTGTCTCTCACTGTCTCTTACTGTGTGTTACTGTGTGTTACTGTGTGTCACTGTCTCTTACTGTGTCTTACTGTGTGTCACTGTCTCTTACTGTGTCTTACTGTGTGTTACTGTGTGTTACTGTGTGTCACTGTCTCTTACTGTGTGTTACTGTGTGTTACTGTGTGTTACTGTGTGTTACTGTGTGTTACTGTGTGTTACTGTGTGTCACTGTCTCTTACTGTGTGTCACTGTCTCTTACTGTGTGTTACTGTGTGTCACTGTCTCTTACTGTGTGTCACTGTCTCTTACTGTGTGTTACTGTGTGTCACTGTCTCTCACTGTCTCTTACTGTGTCTTACTGTGTGTTACTGTGTGTCACTGTCTCTTACTGTGTGTCACTGTCTCTTACTGTGTGTTACTGTGTGTCACTGTCTCTCACTGTCTCTTACTGTGTCTTACTGTGTGTTACTGTGTGTCACTGTCTCTTACTGTGTGTCACTGTCTCTTACTGTGTGTTACTGTGTGTCACTGTCTCTCACTGTCTCTTACTGTGTCTTACTGTGTGTCACTGTCTCTCACTGTCTCTTACTGTGTCTTACTGTGTCTTACTGTGTCTTACTGTCTCTTACTGTGTCTTACTGTGTCTTACTGTGTCTTACTGTGTGCCACTGTGTGCTCGCATGTCCTATCAGAGACTCATGATAAACCGTGTGTTCCCGTACAGACCTTGACAACCTTGTCGCTGCCCGAGGTGAGCAGGGTCCCGGTGGTGGGCTCGTAGTGCATGTAAACAACGCTGTGCTTGCTGTCGTGGAAGGTGGCTGTGGGCGCTCGGCTGGAAGACACAACAGGGACCACGGTTACTTCACCGAGGACACAAAGGTTCAGTGGAGGACGACAACAACAGAGGCCGATTGTTACTCACTCCTCGTCGGTGATGGACTCGTGGCAGCTGTCACACACACGCACCTCGAACTCAAAGCCCATGAGGGGGATGGTGGAGCGCTTGGACGAACATTTGCCGCACACCGCCTGGCCGCACTTCCTGCAGTGGTGCTGAGAACACAGGAGGACTTCAACATGAGGCAACATCTGGATAATGACCCGTTGTATACCCACATTACTATTCTTCAGCGGCAACTCAAAGCGGTTGACATCGGTTGCCTGTATATATTATATGAATGATTATATAAATTATTCAAGGTTAAAGTATACATTGATATTGTATGTTAACATATATTAAGATGTAAAAAGAAAAAAAAGGGAGAAGGGGTCGGATTAAATAAGTGTTAACTTCTTCCGACCCCTTTTCGGACGTGTAATTACTAATTAGCTAAAGCTTTGTTGTTTATTGATATCAGACACTACAGATTATTCAATTATTAATTAAATATTTCGTTTTGTTATTGCATTCATTTGTGTATCATGACTGTATCATCTTTTGTTTCATTTGTATTTTCTTTGGTTTTACACGCTCTAAAAAATAAATAAACTAAACTAAACATCCTTATGGATCCTTCATTTCCATGTACGTCCAAATCATACGTTTTGTTATTTGGATTGACCATGTGACAAACATACATGACACAAAAAGTATAATTCATTTACAATCCAAATGAAAAAGAACTGTAAGAAAGTAAAACAAATCTTGAGTCTTGACCGACAAGTGAACTTCTCGATGAAATATAGTTATTTAATGGAGCTTCTAATGAGTGAATCATGATGTGCTTTGTGTCTGAGGATGTATAAATATAAAAGCTTTTGTAAAGTCATGTGATTGTACAGCACCTGTCGCAGGCCGATCTTCTTACTGTCCCACATCTGTTTGAAGTTCCAGAAGAAAGGCTGCTCACACTTCTGACACGAGTCGCTGTCCAGCCACTCTGGGGTCTGTCAAACACACACACTTTTATAACGATGCATCTCTCATCTGCACTTTTCAAATTAGGATTCCCAATACAAAGGAAGATGTATTTTAAGTCCCAAAAAAAGTTATGTATCATATCAGACAGAATATATTTCTGTTAGGACAAAACAAGAAATGTAAAGACTAGGGCCGGGACTTTAACGCGTTAATTAAGATTAATTAATTACACAAAAATTAACGCGTTAAAAAAATTAACGCATTTTAATCGCACTTATTTTTGCACCGCGGAACGTTTCTCACTGGATGAGTTTCAGGCGTACCGATTATACTGGAGCACCAACTAACGTTCATGACTTCAGACAACAACAAACCACAGTGAACAACAGTGGGAAATGTTGTTTTAAAAAACGGACGGATGGAAGCGTCGATAAGAGCACGGTTGTGTGCAAATTATGCAAAAAGGAATTCGCATATCACCGCAGCACATCAAGCCTCAAGTATCACCTCAATGCAAAAACATATAGCAGCTAGCGTGGACGTTAGCGTCTTTTATCGCGTTCACACCAAAAAGAGCCGGTACTAAAATTAGTTCATGAGAACCTTTTTACCGTGCGGCTCTCTTGTGAGAAAAGAGCTATATTTCTGATTGGCTGGGCGGATTGCAAACCACGCCCCGTAAAACTCCCAAAAAGTTTTGTGAAGCCGCCATTTTATTATCCTCGCATTAGCATTATTAGCATTAGCCCAGCGCAGAAACGCAGAGAGACTAACTTATGGCAACACAAAATAAAACATGGGAGCGGTGGAGATGAGGAGGTGTCGGCGTTCTGGCGATTTACTCGGATCGGGACAGCAGCTTCTACTGAAGCCAGTCCCCAACTCCGGGGACTTCCGACCGGGGACTTTGGGCGGCAGTATACGCCGTGAAGTGGTTTGCGGCCTGCCAGTAAACCCAAAGCAGAAGAAGAAGAAGTGACGTCAGCGGCTTCATTTGCCTAATCCACCCCCAGGTTCAAAGAGTTCTCATGAACTAAATTCTCATGAACCTTTGTGGGAAAAGTACTGCGGTGTGAATGCGCCTAATGGTATACTAAAATCCATGTGAAAAAAATTGCTTCTCACTGTTCTTAGGTCAAATATGTATATGTGATTAAAAATGCGATTAATTTCGATTAATTAATTACAAAGCCTCTAATTAATTAGATTAATTTTTTTAATCGAGTCCCGGCCCTAGTAAAGACATCACCTTAGACTTTGTGAAACTAGAACGGATATTTTGTCTATTTCTAAAATGTTATAGAACAGTCTATCGATTAATCTAGAAAGTAACTGGTGGATAGATAAATGACTTGTTAGTTGCAGCCCTACGCTTATCTCTCTGACAGAACAAGGACGTGTGCAAAAGGCATGAAAACACAGCTCACACATTTCCATA